CACACACACACACCCCAGCACTGAGGACACCCTCCCGCTGGCACAGCCGCACTCAGCACATCCACGGGCCCCAAAGTGAGCGGCGAGGGGCCCCCAAAGAGAGGGGGCAAAAGGGGAGGAAAACACAGAAATGAGTAAGAAAAAGGCCGGGAGGCGTGTGCATGTGTGTGTGCATGTGTGTGCATGTGTGTGCATGTGTGTGCATGTGTGTGCATGTGTGTGCATGTGTGTGCATGTGTGGATGTGTGCAAAGCAGAGCGGCGGCGCCTGTTTAAATAATAATAGAAAGTCAAAGGCTTTGCTTAGCCAGCAGGTTTCTGAACAAAAGCCCAGCGCTCCTCCAACTTCCTGCAGCGAACATGACAAATGTCTGCTTTGACTCATTTACCAGCGCTGGAAAGAATGTGGCTGCGACGGAGGGGACGGCGGAGGGGACGGCGGCCGGTGGCACCGCGCAGCCCAGGCCGGTTGTGCCGTGCACGCAGGCCCCGCCGGCCAGCGCTTCCCGTCCCACGCCGGAGGAACAGGAAGAAGCAGAGATTAAATAAAGAAGAAACCACCCCAAAGTCTTAACGCAGAAGCCAAGAGGAACTGGGTGAGGGGAGCACCCCGCACGCGAGGGCGACACGGATACCCTAATGCCGTGTCCCACTGCCCCACAAGCAGCCCGGAGGTGCCAGAATGGGGTTCCCTGCTTAGCAGCATCCCCCCAGCCCTGCTTCCTCCCGGCACCACTCATGGGGGCACAGACAATGCTCTGGGGAGCACAGGATGCTCCCATGAGCGGGATGGAGCCTTGGCCACAAAGCCCATGAGGACACCCCGGGGGACACCACGGTGCCCAGAATGAGCAGCTTCAGGAGCGCACGGTCACAGCCCCAACAACAGGACACGGGCAGGGACCCCCAGGACCCCCCCAGCGTAGCCTGGGGTTCGGGGTGCAGGGCCCCAGCCCCTTCCCCCCATCCCCATGCTGGCACCTCGGGGCCCCGCAGCCCCCCCGCTCGCCCGCCCACTTCAAAAGACCCCATTTATCCCCTTCAGCGCCTTTTGAGCGCGGCGAATTCCCGGTTCCCCCCCGGCCCCCGTGACAGTGATAGAAAACCTCCGCTGTAATGGGCTTTCCCAGGCGCGGGGGCCCTGCGCCCAGCGCGGCCTCATCAATCTTCCCCAGGCGGAGGAGATGGGGAGGCGGCCGAGGGGTCCCCAGCCCCGCACCCCAGCACCGGGGCCCCCCAACCCCCCCCAACCCCCCCCCGCAGGCTGCAGGGAGCACGTTTTGCTCATTAATTTTTAAAAATTAATTAATTACGGGGCCGCTGCGGGAGAGCGGCTGCGGCGTGGAGGAAACCGGAGCCAGGGGGTAGGGTGACAGCCGGGGGCCCCCCGGCCCGGCAGCCCAGAGCACGGGGAGGGGGCCACGGTGGGGGCCCATTTCCAGCCATCAGGCCTGGGAACCAGGGCAGCAGGAGGGAACCCCTCATAGCCCCCCCCATGAGCAAGGGAAGGGGACCCCCCCCCCCCAGGACAGCCAGACCCAAAGCCATCAGGGAGTCCCTGGGGACAGCCCCGCCACGCGTGCATGGGGACACAGGCAGCCCTATGGCACATGTGGCGTGCACACACGGGCACAGTGGGTGCTGAGCACACTTGCACACAGCCCCCTCCACAGAGTCACTCAGCCCTGCACATGCTTGTTACACGTATGAACCCCACATGCACACACATAACCCCAGCCACATGTGGGCACAGCTGGCAGCACACACGCACAGCATCACGGACACACACGGATGTGCATGGGTCACACAGCACTGAGTGGGGAGAGGTCTCACATCCACCCCGGGTGCCCCATGCTCTTCACCCATAGCCTGGAGCCCTGGCCATGACAATGGGTCCCAGGGCACCCGGGGACACCCACTGCAGGCTGAGGGGTGCCACCAGCCGTCCCCTGCATCCACAGCCGGGGCAGCCCCAAGCACCACGCACAGGATGCAGCCAATCCCATTCCCTGGCATCCCAGGAGCCGGATCCGGCACCAGCAGCCCCAGCGATACCGGATCCCCATCCTGACACCCAAGGCCCCAGCGTGGCTCCCGGCCAAACCCCCGGGGGGGGGGGGGAAATCTGCACCCCCGGGAGGGCCCAGCTGGATCGGCCCGGGGGCTGTGCAGCTGCAGCACATCTGGTGAGGGTGGGCTGGTGGTGGGGATGGAGGCGCATCAGGAGGTGGGGGGCGCTGCACCAGCCCCTCAGATGGGACGCGGATCCCAGCAATTCCCTCCTGGCCCCATCACCAGCAACAAGAGCAGGGGCATCCTGCCCACAGCCCCCAGACACCGCAGGACCTACACAAACACGACACCCGTTAGGCTGTGTGGGTGCCATGGGGGGGGAAGCACACAAAGCGCCCCCACCCCTTGGAACACGCTCCCCAGCAGGGAAAGCCGAGGGGAAACTGAGGCACAGCCCACCTGGGGGCCACCAGCCCCATTGTCAGACATGGAGGGAGAACGATGTGGGGGGACACAAGAGCTGCCCCCATCCCGTTCCCACAATGCCAGGCGTCGGGAATGGCCCCAGAGCCAGCGCGGGGGAGGGGCCCCACCCGCCGACACCCAGTGGCTGAACTGGTCCCACTGGGTCCCACCGCCGCCGGGGCGGCTCCGGCGGGGACAGCACCCCAGGCCGGCCCTGCCCGGGCCTGCACCGTCCCCCGCGGCCAGGGATGGGGTAGGGGGGGGGGCCCCGCCACACCCCGACCCACGGCGGCCTCCCCGACGGCGGGTGCCGCGGGGCACCCATGCCACCGGCGCGGGAACGGGCGAGGGCACCCATCCGCAGCGGTGCATGGGCTCCGGCAGCTGCCCCACGGCACCCATTGTGGGTGCAGGGAAACTGAGGCAGGCTGCGGGGTGGCGGTGCCGGGAGCACCTCCCGCGGCTCCTGGCTGCCGGCGCGGCGGGGCGGTGATTACCGGGGCCGTGATGGACGACCCTGTCAGGGGGAAATTGAATCAGGAGCAGACGCGATGATTGCCTTCATCGCCTCCCCCACCGCGGCCCCCGCGCCGCCGGCGAACAAAGAGCCACGGCGGGGACACGGCATCGGCCTCCCCGGCCACCGCCGACACCGCTCGGTGCAGCCCGGCTTCGGTGGGTGCTGGGGACAGCCAAGGGCCCGTTCGCAGCGCCGTTAGCAGCCGGGCTATAAACAGAGCCGTTAACAAAGGCGCAGCAGCAGGTCAGTCACACGCACCCGTCCGCCCCTGCCTCAGCTTCCCCAGCAGCACTAACGGGGGACACGCGGGGGGAAGCGCCCGGCACTCGCCCCCCACCACCACCAGGAAGGAGCTGGTGCCCCCAAACAGAGCTTCCCATTAGTGGCTGTGAGCAGGAAGACCCCCCCCCATCACCGGTGCCACCGCCCTAGTGCTGGTTATGGACCGGTGCCGGAGCAGCATCACGGGGTCAGCACCCGCATCCCAATCTGAGCACAGACTCCAGCACCCAGGGGTCCTCACACACCCCCTTTCCCACCAGCCCCCCCCACCCCTCCGGAAGAGCCGCGGTACTCACTGGCAGGCGAGGGGGTGCTGTATCCGCTGACGGGCAGCTGGTGCTGGATACCAGCAAGGGTGCTGGGCGGTGAGAGCCCCCCCAGCATGTGGGGGAAGAAGAAGGCGTAGGGGGGCACGGGGTAGCCATTGAGGTGCCCCCCTCCAGGAGTGGGGCAGGAGCTGCTGTTGCTGGCCATGGCGAAGAGGGGGGGGTCTCCGCAGGGTGGGGGGCTCTCAGGCGCGGGGTGCAGGGCCTGAGCAGAGCATGGGGCCCGCGGGGACCCGCTGCCCGGCGCTGTCCTCACTGGCTCCTGCAGCGCTGCGGGGGGGAACAGAGAGGGGGGTCAGTGATGGGACACCCACAAGCCGTGCCTCAGTTTCCCCAGACCCCCCCCCTCCATTCCCAAGGACCACGTCCCCTCCCGGCCCCAGGAGGGCGCAGGCGGCTGGGCCCAGCGCTCCCCATGGGATTAACCACAATCCCCCCAGATTAACGACACCGGGACGGGCAGGCGCAGGGCGCTAATCGGGGTTTAGCGGGCGATGGGGGGGACGGCGCGGGGACACTGCGGCCCCATAGGGCACCCCCTCACACCAGGGACCAAGCAACAGCATCAGAGCTGCTCCCCCAGCCTTACCCTGGGAATGGGGAGCATGGGGCAGCCCCCCTGCCCCAGTCTGGGGGCTGCAAGGCAGCCGGGGGGGGGGGGATATGGGATGGATGAGCGCACCGGGGTCCCCTGAGGACAGTGGCCCTGCTCCACCCTGGCTCTGCTGTCACAGCCATGGCCCCTCCACCTCTGCTCCCACACATGCACCGAGCGCAAGGGGCCTCAATGGGGCAGGAAAGGAGGGGGGGTGGTGTCCCCCTGAGGTCCCGGGGGGGGGGCTCAGCCTCTGCCACAGGGCTGGGCTGTGCCCATCGAGGTGCAGCCTGCACCGTGTGCCTGGTGATGCCAGCAGCTCCCACGCCAAGGCAGGGACAGGGACCCTGCGCCAGGCCGGGGGGTGGCGGTGGGAAGAGAGGTCCGGGGGGGGGGGGGGGGTGGTAAAGGGGGGGGCACGGGGCTTTCACAATCCGGGCTGGCTGTTTATTTAAGCACTGGCGCGGGGCCCGGCGGGGGCTGTTTATTTGCCGAGAGTGTTGGCTCCCGGCCTGGCGGAGGCGGAAAAGGATCCAGAGGAACAAGGCTGGGCCGCCCGGCGAGGCGCTGGGGAGGGGCTGGGACGGGCACGGCCCTGCCCGCCCCACCAGCACCCAACTGGGAGCACCCACCCGAGACAGGACCCCCTTCCCCCCCCCCCCATCCTCCCAGCATACACCAGCACCCACAACCCCTGCGCTGCTCCCACCCATTGAGACCGGCTGGAGCACCCATGGGAGACCTAAGGGCGGGCACCCAGCAATGGCTGGGGTGGGGGTTACATCCTCCCCAAGCACAAGATGCTGCGGGATTCCCATGGGCACGGTGCTGGACACCGGGTCAGCATCATCCGTTTGGACCAAGCGCTTGGCACCAAGGAGGGGACAGACCTGGCGTGGGGTCCCCACATGGCGCTGCAGGGCCCCATAGCGGGGGGCTGCCCATTGCCCCCCAGCCAGGCAGTGGTCCCTGCACCGCGCTGCCCGGGGGGAGCAGGGGGGCTGGAGGTGCGGGAAGCACTGTTTATGTTTGGCAGTGCCAAGTGCTCACCCGGCACCACGCCAGCCGCAACGGGCCCCAATTACTCAACACTCTCCCCCCCGCATGCCGCCAGCCTGGGACCGAACGAGGCCGGCACCGGGCACCCTAAACCTGCGGCAGACCCACAGCTTCCCAGTGCCCCACAGCTGCAGGAGGGTCTGGATCCCATTGACCCCCCGTGCCAGCACAGACCCCGGCCCATGGCTGCTCCCAACCCAGCTGTCATGGGCATCCCGAACGTGAGTCCCGGGCATGGCAAATGGGGTCCCACTCCTGGAGAGCCCCAGGCCAGCAGCATGAGGCCGGGGGCCGCGCAGCCCCTCGAGAGGGGCCCACGCTCGCCCTTCCCGGCGCCTTTTCCTCCAGTCCCCGGCAGGAGCTGGACGGGCCCCGGAGCTTCCTGGAATCCAGCGCCTCGTTCCAGCCCCGCGGAAAACGCTGCTGCGGGGCCCGGGCCAAATCCCAGCCACGAGGAACCTCCCGCCCAGGCCGGGGGTGGCCCCCGGGAGCGGACGGACGCACGGACACACGGACCGGAGCCTTCGCAGGGCTGGCAGCAGCGCGGCTGGGGGCGACCACGGCTGCCAGAGCCGCTTTCAGCCCATGGACCCCAACAGAGCGCACCCCGCACACCCCAACAGAGCCGGCAGCACTGGCACAAGACCCCCAGGGGACCCCTTCCAAAAGTACTGCGACCCCGGGTTGGATTCATTGCCCAACGCCAGGCACAGCCCCTGGCAGGGCCAACGCTAACCACAGAGCACGCAGCATCACACCGGGACTGCGGTACCCAACCACAGCAGCCACCCGCAGCCCTGCCAGCTGAGGGGGCCAGGCAGCAGCACCTCCCATCCGTGAACCTCCCCCCCCACCCCCCAAGTGCAGCAGCACCCCCAGCCCCGGTGCCCCCATCACACCACCAAACCCAGCCGCGCTTCCTGCCAGGGCACACGGCGATGGCAGCGCCAGCGCCCGGATGTGACACTCCGGGGAGCGGGGACACCGCCCTGGCCTCCCCCTGGCACCGAGGGGACAAGCGGGGCTGGGGTTGCTCTGGAGGTGCCTGGCAGGGCAGCGGGCAGCGGCCAAGCCCTTCCTGTCATGCTTGCGGGCACCGTGCTCCCGGCCGCAGCTTCCCCTCGCCGCTATCGGTTCCTGGGCAGCCAGGTTTCAGTTCACCCCCAGGCTGGCTGCCACGGATGCCAGCCACCCCGAACTCTGCCACCCTGCTCCTGTGCCACCCCAGACACTGCCACCCTGCTCCTGTGCCACCCCGAACTCTGCCACCCTGCTCCTGTGCCACCCTAGACACTGCCACCCTGCTCCTGTGCCACCCCGAACTCTGCCACCCTGCTCCTGTGCCACCCCAGACACTGCCACCCTGCTCCTGTGCCACCCCGAACTCTGCCACCCTGCTCCTGTGCCACCCCGAACTCTGCCACCCTGCTCCTGTGCCACCCTAGACACTGCCACCCTGCTCCTGTGCCACCCCGAACTCTGCCACCCTGCTCCTGTGCCACCCCGAACTCTGCCACCCTGCTCCTGTGCCACCCCGAACTCTGCCACCCTGCTCCTGTGCCACCCTAGACAATGCCACCCTGCTCCTGTGCCACCCTAGACAATGCCACCCTGCTCCTGTGCCACCCCGAACTCTGCCACCCTGCTCCTGTGCCACCCCAAACTCTGCCACCCTGCTCCTGTGCCACCCCGCTCCTGTGCCACCCCAGACACTGCCACCCTGCTCCTGTGCCACCCCGAACTCTGCCACCCTGCTCCTGTGCCACCCCGAACTCTGCCACCCTGCTCCTGTGCCACCCTAGACACTGCCACCCTGCTCCTGTGCCACCCCGAACTCTGCCACCCTGCTCCTGTGCCACCCCGAACTCTGCCACCCTGCTCCTGTGCCACCCCGAACTCTGCCACCCTGCTCCTGTGCCACCCTAGACAATGCCACCCTGCTCCTGTGCCACCCTAGACAATGCCACCCTGCTCCTGTGCCACCCCGAACTCTGCCACCCTGCTCCTGTGCCACCCCAAACTCTGCCACCCTGCTCCTGTGCCGCCCTAGACACTGCCACCCTGCTCCTGTGCCGCCCTAGACACTGCCACCCTGCTCCTGTGCCACCCCGAACTCTGCCACCCTGCTCCTGTGCCACCCCAGACACTGCCACCCTGCTCCTGTGCCACCCCAAACTCTGCCACCCTGCTCCTGTGCCACCCCGCTCCTGTGCCACCCCAGACACTGCCACCCTGCTCCTGTGCCACCCCGAACTCTGCCACCCTGCTCCTGTGCCACCCCAGACACTGCCACCCTGCTCCTGTGCCACCCCGAACTCTGCCACCCTGCTCCTGTGCCACCCTAGACACTGCCACCCTGCTCCTGTGCCACCCCGAACTCTGCCACCCTGCTCCTGTGCCACCCCAGACACTGCCACCCTGCTCCTGTGCCACCCCGAACTCTGCCACCCTGCTCCTGTGCCACCCCAGACACTGCCACCCTGCTCCTGTGCCACCCCAAACTCTGCCACCCTGCTCCTGTGCCACCCCGCTCCTGTGCCACCCCAGACACTGCCACCCCGCTCCTGTGCCACCCCGAACTCTGCCACCCTGCTCCTGTGCCACCCCAGACACTGCCACCCTGCTCCTGTGCCACCCCGAACTCTGCCACCCTGCTCCTGTGCCACCCTAGACACTGCCACCCTGCTCCTGTGCCACCCCGAACTCTGCCACCCTGCTCCTGTGCCACCCCAGACACTGCCACCCTGCTCCTGTGCCACCCCAAACTCTGCCACCCTGCTCCTGTGCCACCCCGCTCCTGTGCCACCCCAGACACTGCCACCCTGCTCCTGTGCCACCCCGAACTCTGCCACCCTGCTCCTGTGCCACCCCAGACACTGCCACCCTGCTCCTGTGCCACCCCAAACTCTGCCACCCTGCTCCTGTGCCACCCCGCTCCTGTGCCACCCCAGACACTGCCACCCCGCTCCTGTGCCACCCCGAACTCTGCCACCCTGCTCCTGTGCCACCCCGAACTCTGCCACCCTGCTCCTGTGCCACCCCGAACTCTGCCACCCTGCTCCTGTGCCACCCTAGACACTGCCACCCTGCTCCTGTGCCACCCCGAACTCGGCCACCCTGCTCCTGTGCCGCCCTAGACAATGCCACCCTGCTCCTGTGCCACCCCAAACTCTGCCACCCTGCTCCTGTGCCACCCCAGACCCTGCCACCCTGCTCCTGTATCACTCTGTTTCCATGCCACCCCAAACTCTGCCACCCCAGGCCCTGCCACCCTGCTCCTGTACCACCCCAGACTCTGCCACCCGGCTCCTGTGCCACCACAGACACCTCCACCCTGCTCCTGTGCCACCCTGGTGCCCTGCCACTCCTCTGCCACCGCCACCCCAGCCCCCTGCCAGCCCAGAGCTGGCCGGGGCTGCTGCCCACATCCCCCAGCCTCACCCCAACGGGTTACAGGCACATCACGGTGCCAGGCCACCCCCGTGGCACCCAGGCCGAGGGTCAGGCCGGGGAGCTCTGGGGACCACGCTGTGCCGGGGGGAGCCCGGTGGCCCCCGCTGCTCTGGCAGCCTCCTGGGCAGGGCAGGAAGCGCCCGCGGAGCCGCTGTGCGGTCGAAGCCTGCGGTTTCCTCGCTGCTGTCAGCGCTTGGCCCGGGACGGCCTCACACGCGAGGCCAAGGACCGGCTGCCCCCCAACCACCCCCGGCCCCCGGCTCCAGCGGCGCGGTTCAGGGGGTGCGCGGGGGTCCCCTGGCAGGGCCGCACAAGCGAGACCCCCACCCTGTATCCCCGAAGCATCTCAGCCGTGAGTCACCGTCACGTTTCTCACGTCCTCGGGCAGGCGTGAATCATGCCCCAGCCCGGCTGCAGGGCCGGAGCCAGCGGCACACGCTCGGCACAGACTGCGTGTGCCAGAGCTGGGGCTGCCACAGCCGCGCTCAAGGGGATGTGGGGCTCGTGTGGACCCCAGGAACTGCATGGGCAGCACTGATGCCACTGCGCCACGGCACCCGATGGACCAGCATCAACCCACACCCGGACACAGCGACACAGAGGTGGGGACGGAGTCCTTGCCAACACCCCACGGGGGCCCCACGGCGTGAGCCCTCGCCCCGTGGGTCCTCGCCCCTGACACCCCCACGTCCCGCTGCCGGCTGGGAGCCACAAACTGAAATTCCACCTGTTGTGGCCAGGCCGGCTCTGGTTACTCCGGGAACGCGATGCTCCGGTTACACGTCCCGCACCCGCCACCACGCTCCCCATTCTTCTGCGGGAACAGGTGCCCCGGCCCCCGCCACAGCCCCCGGCACGGCCGTGCCACGTTGCCACCGGCACCACCTCTGCACCGTGGGTGCTGCATCACCAAAGGACCAGCCATGCCCCCCCCCCCCAGCACCTGGCACTGCGGGGACCCCCACCCATGCCCACAGCGGGGACACCCCCGGCTCCAGCTCAACCCCGATCCTTAGGATGAGCGCAGGGAACCCCAAGTCCCGCTCACGGGGAGTCACGGTCCCGGGGTGCCCCATCCCGGCTCCCCACGGACTCCTCCTGGGCAGCAGCAGGATTGCAGCCGCTCGCGGCAGCCCCCGGTTGTTTTTAGCCCTGGATGCGGCGCGCAGCCGGCGCCCTGGGAACGGCGTGCCGGGAACAGCGCGGCCCCAGACAGCCCTTTCTGGCTCGGCGACAGCCGGCAGACAAGTGCAGCCGGCTGCGCCCGCGGCATGGGGCCGCTCGGGACACGGCACCCGCGGCTGGCGTGGGACAGCGCAGCGGGCAGGCGGCAGCGTTAACACCCCCGGACAGCGGGACCTGGTGGCACCGGGCCCCTGGCTCCGGCAGGCTCCAGGACCAGGTCATGCAGGGATGGGACCTGGGATACCTGGGGGGGAGCCAAACCGCCACCGCGTCGCACCCAGGCTGGCTACACAAGGGCACGCAGACGTGTGCCACCACCGTGTCCTCTGGCACCGCCTGGTAACCGGGGCCGGGGCAGGCCAGGACGGGCACATGCGGCCCCTCGCCGGGCCTTGCCATGAACAAACCCCCCCCCCACCACCACCCGCTAAGCCGCCTCCAGCCGCAGGGAGATTAACCCATTTTCTGTAATCAGCACATGTGTCACCGCAGATATGATCGACCCCCCCCCCCCCCGTGCTGCCAGCACCGCAGCCCTTCCCCCCGAGCCCTGGGGCTGGCACTGCCATGGGGAGCCCTGCGGCATGGGGGTACCCCACAGCATGGGTCCCGCAGTCCCAGCCGAGAGTCCCCATAAAGTGCTGCAGCAGCACCCCAGAAAGGGCAAAGGAACACCCCCAGTGGCAGCCCTGGTGGCCCAGGGCACGCTCTGCCCACGGCCGGTGCAGCCGAATGTGGCACGTTGACACGCCAGAGCCTCCTGGTTATAAATAGAGCCGGAGCCGCGGCGCTGGTGAATCCCAGCGCCGCAGGGCAGGCGGTGGCATGGGCCCTCCCCAGGCTCACCGGCCGCAACGCCGCTCACAGCACCGGGACTAGGGACACAGCGGGTGTGCAAGGACAGCCGAGCATCCCTGCAGGCACGGGGTAGCACAGGATGAGGCACCGGGCACTGGCCTCTCCCCACTGTCCCGGTGCCCGCTGGTGGCAGCTGGGTCACCGCGAAGGGTCTGCAAGTGGTGGATGAAGGCACCAGGCACCCATTGGCACCCCCAGTGCCAGCACCCGTGGGGACACGCGTGTCCCCGCACCACAGCAAGGTCACCCTCAAGGGCAGGGCGCGGGGCCCACGGGTGACATATGGCCCGGCAGCGGTGGTTGTGGGGCTGCTAAGCCACCGAGTCGTCACCCGCTAATCCCAGCACCGAGGCTGCGGTCAGGGCACCGCACCCAGAGCTGCCACCCGGCGCCTCCCAGCACCCTGGAGCGGGACAGGCGAGGGGCACCGGTGTGGGGATGCCCCCGTGTTCCCCCCCCTGGCACCCACTGGGCTCTGGGACAGCCCCTGCCACCCAACGAGGTCAAAGGTCAGAGGCACAGATTTGGGGGACACCCCAGCTCCAGCGGGCAGGGGGGTTCTGCACCTACACCCCCCCCCCTGTTTATGGCGCTGCTGCCCACCCCGAGGGTCCCCCCACCCTCGGGGTCGCGGAGTGGGGGACACGCAGTGGGGCAGCCCCCAGCTCCCCCCCCCCCACTACCGTCACCACCGCTCCATCAGGACCCCGCCGGGGCTCCTCCACCCCCAGGCCGACCCCCGGTATCTGCGGCGGCGGCAGCCGGCACCCCCCGCCCGGCCCCCCCCGGCCTCGCCGCCGCGCCAGCGCCCTGTCAGCCGCGGAGAGCGATGGCTTCCTCCGCCCGCCGGCCAGGAAACGGCGCAGACGCCGCTCCCGCCCCCCCGGACCCCAGCCCCCGGCGCCCCCCGCGCCCCCGGCCCCGCTCACCCGCCCGGCCCCGCCGTCTGCGCCCCGGCTTCACCCCCCCGGCACCCCGAAAAGGGGAAGCGGCCCCGGCTTCCCCCCGCCGCGGGGGGGGGGGGGGGGGAACGTGGCTGCGCGCACCGGTAACGGGGGGGGAACCTCGGCGATTCCGGGGGCATCCCCCAGCCCCGCGCTCTATGGAGGAACCTCGACACCCCCCCCCCCCCGGGGCGTGGGGTACCCCGAACCCTCACAAGGGCGGCGGGGGGGGGGGGGGGATCCGGCCCCGGGAGGGGGGACCCCAGCACCGGTAACCAGAGAGGACCCAGCACCGCCAAGGCCGGGGAAAACGGGGGCAAAGCCGCGATCCGGAACCGCGGCGGGGGCAGCGCTGCGCCTCCGGGGCTCACGGCAGCCTCAGCCAAGCGGGGGGGGGGGGGGGGGGGAAGGAAACGCACCGGGATCCCCCCCCCACCGGGAGGGATCCCCATTAAGCGGAGGGGGATCCCCAGAGGCGGTACCGGATCCGCGGCAAGGTCCTCCCTGCCCACCCCGGCGCGCTCACAGGGGCCCGCTCCTTTACCTGATCACGGCGACTTCCCACCGAGATCCTCAGAACCGGGAGGCTCCCGGTGGCGGCTGCATGGCGGCGGCGGGGAGACCCGGCCTGAAGGGGGGGTGGTGACGGGGGAGCGGGGGTGGGGGGGGTACCGGAGGGGAAAGGGGGGGGGGGGTTCAACGAGCGGCGGCCGCGGCCATTGCGAGTCATGTGCTCGCGGGGAAACTTTACCCGGGGCTGGGCCGGGCGCGGCGGCGGCGGCGGCGGGCGGGGACCGAGCGGAGGCCACGCCCCCCCACAGGCCACGCCCCCCCTCGCGTAAACCACGCCCGTTCGCACACCACGCCCTTCACGCGGGACACGCCCCTCCCCCGACCCTCGCCAGCCAATGGGAAGCCGCCGTGGGCGGGGCCGCCGCTACATTGTAACTCTTTGAAGTCTCCAGAAGGCGGAAGGGGAGAAAGTGGGTGCGCGCGCCGCGCGGGAAGCGAGGAGAGGGGGGGGGCTCTTAAAGGGGCCGCGCTTCATAAAGCTCGTTGCGCCTTTTCCTTCTCCTTGTCTCGTAAAAGGATGCAAGGGATACAGGATGGGGGTGAAGGGACCACCCAGGGCATGGGGGACTGGGGGGGACGGTCAAGCGGGATGGGGGATACACAAGATGTCCCCACGCTCAGAGGGGCAGGGCATGGTCCTCCTCCATGGGCTGAAGTCAAGGGGGTGAAGGAGGCATTCCTGCCTGCCCCCCAACAAAGCCACTGACCCCGAGGACAGGGATATGGACACAGGTTGTGCTGCTGCATTCCTGATTCCCTCATCCCTACCAGGGTGACAGCTCCGGCACCTCTGTGTCCCTCACATTCTCACCAGGTCGCCCACCTGCATCCCACTGAGGACACACAGGGGATTAAGGCAACTTTGCTGTGAAAAGGGAAAGAAAAAAGGAGAGCTGCAGCCTGAGGCAGCCCTGGCCCAGCCTCATGCCCCAGGCTGGCTCCCACTGGGTCCCTGGGGCCACCCAGAGCAGCACTCCTGTGCCTCAGTTTCCCCTCTATTCAAGGCAGGGCGAGGTGGGACCCCCGGGCTCACTGGGGGCAGCGAGGTCTGGGCACCCACAGCCCGGCACGGCCGCTGGCCCCCTCCCCAACATGGTGGTGCTGCCGCTGCGGCGAGGCCCAAGCGCCGGCATGTGCTCAGCCCAGAGGAATGCGCCAAATCACTGCCAGATGTGCGCAGAGGCCACCCCGCCGCCCCCTCCAGGGCCCACCGGGCACCAAGGACTCCAAAGCACCCCACTGTGGGGCTGATCCCCCCGTTGCCCGCATCCTGCCTGCCCGCAGCTCCCAGCCCCAGCCTGTCCCATGGCGTCGGGGTGCCGAGGCCCAGCGGGAGGACGTGGGTGCCGGCGCACAGACAAGAAGCGCCATGGGCACAGGGCCGCGTCCCCGGTGTCCCCGCAGCGCTCCCCCGGTGCCATCACAGCGGGGTCATGTGGGGTCCTGCCCCACATCCCTGGTCCCGGTACCCACAGGAGCGCAGCCGAGCGGAACGGGGCTGTCAGATGGAATCTGGGTGCCGGCGGTGACGCCGCAGCGGGAGGCGGCCGTGCCCGACACGTGGCTGCTTATGTAAGGAGAGTGCAAGGGAGGACAGCGATGGCCGGGGCACCGGGGACACCGCCGAGGGGACACCAGGTCCCCGCTGAGCACATGCGGCCGGACACGCACGCAGAGGGCACAGCACGTGTGTGCGGGAGCAGGGGGACGTGGGCACACATGTGCCGGAGTTGGGGGGGGCACGGAGCCCGGCTGGCCCCTCAGCATCCCCATGATGCTGTGGGGCCGGGGGGGGTCCCAGGCAAGCAGAGGTGTCCCCACACTGCAATGGTCTCGCCGTGGTGCTGCCGGCCCCTCACGGCGCGGTGCTGAGCGGCTCCGGCACCGCGCAGCTCACCCCATCCGTGTGCACTATTGATTTTTCACGCACTGCAGCAGAGAGCGGAGCCAGGGCTGGCACGGCCCCGGAGCCGCGTTCCCACGCCATGGGGCCACGTCCCTGTGGCACCCCGCTCTCCTTGTCCCCACCCAGGGCACCCTGAAGGCAGCACCAGCACCCTCCAGCCTCACCATGGGATGCTCATGGCAGCGGGGCTGGTACCCACCGTGCCCTGCCTGTACCCAGCACCTCACCCAGCACCGTGGTGGGCACAGGGGGGATGCGGGGAGCAGGGGCACCGCGGTGCCCACCCGTGTCACCAACACGTCATTGTGGTCACACACGCTGCCAGCCGCTCCCTTCCGGCCCATGCCATCCTGTGCCATGGGGCTGCATCATGGGCACAGGGTAGGATGCAGCTGCTGGGGGTGAGGGGGAGCAGGGAACCCCCCTGGCAGCCCCAGTTCTGCCCATGGGGATGCTGGTACCAGCTCAGCCCCATGGATGGGTGGCAGGGCCTGGGTCCCCCACATGTGAGGCCTGGTGAGGGACAGGGGACACAGCCTGGGCTGAACCCACGTCCCCCCCCCGTGCTGCTTCCCAGCAGCTCTGTTATAAATAGCCCCGTGGCAGCAATGGGCTAAGCCGTGCTCAGGGCCTGGCTGGGGCCACCGCCTGCCCCCGGCACCACCTCAGTTTCCCCAGTGCTCCCCACGCTGCAAGTCCCTGTGCCCAGGGCCTGCCCTGTCCCCAGTGTCCCCTGGCACAGCAGAGAAAGGCAGTGCCCAAACAGGGGGGGTGGGAAAAGGGGGCTGCACCAGGACACCCAGCTCAGTATTGGCCTCCTGCACCCCCCCTGGGCTCCGCTGCAGCACTGGGACACAAGTGATGTCCCCACACCCTGCACCCCATGGGGACAGCATCAGGACAGGCCCGGCACACACCAGGGCCACACCATGGGGACAAAGGAAACCGAGGCACAGTGGGGGGACCCCGGCCCCCGGCAGCATGGGGGCAGCGAGGGGTGCTGGGTGGGATGGGCAGAGGTGGGGTGCGAGGGCTGGATGTGGGACACTGACGCAGCCTCATCCCCTCCCTGGGTGCCCCCCCCCAGCCGGGGGAGCTGCAAAATTAGGTCAAAGCTTCTATTATTTAACACAAGCAGAGGAGCTGGGGCCAGGAGCTGGGGGGGGGGGGGGCTGCAGCTCAGAGGAAAGGGGCTGGGGGAGGACTGGGCTGGGCCCCACAGCCTTAGGGGCAGGAGGGGAATGGGGGACGCAGAAGCAGGAGCCAGCACTGAAGCAGAACATGACTTTATTAACAGCAGCAGATAGAGGGGGCCCTGCTGTCATCCCCCACCTCCATCCCTGCACCCCTCCCTGCTCTGAAGGACCAATGTTCCCCTAGCCAGGAGCCCCAGAAGGCTCCGAATGAGCCAGGAGCCACCATGGCCATAGCTCAAAGCAGGGAGCAGCACCGGGACCCCTCGTGCCCCTCAAATAATGACGATAATAACATTAATAATATTAATAAAATCACCCCAGAGCGAGGCAGGGCTGGGCACACGAGGGCTGAGGCCTCCAGGAGCCATCTCCCTGCTCCTGCCATGACCCAGCCAAACCCCACCGGCACCAGAATCCCACCCGCGGCCATAGGGAGGCTACTGCAGGCCCTGGGCCAGGATGCTGCCCACCAGCACCGCGTCCTGCAGCGTGTGTTCCACGGCTGCTTGGTCCAGCTTCAGGGAGACCTGGGCGAGAGATGAGAGGTGCTCAGTGCCCCAGTGCCCTGCTACCAGACCCCTGCCCCACTGCCAGACCCCCGGTACCTTGGCCAGCCGAGCCTCTTTGGCCTTCTTCATCTCGAGGATGCCGCGGGACTCCAGGAGGGTGACAAGGGACAGACACTCGGCCTGATCCACAGCGGGGAGCTGCTGCCGCCGGCAGACCTGGCTGTAGGTGTCATGGAGCTGGAGCAGACAGAGCAGGAGTTACCCATGGGCTGCTGCATCCAACGGAGACCCCAGGGACACAAACCTGCTCCCTGCATCCAGCCCAGGGAGGCTCCCACCACCACCACCACCACTCACCTTCCCCAGCGTCACCTCCTGCATGCGCAGGTGCCGGGTGAGCAGCAGCAGGGAGCAGAGCAGCACCTTCTGCTGCAGGGGGAAGGAGTCCAGGGTGCCCCGGCCCCCCGGTGCCAGGCGGTCCCCAAACACCTCCGAGATCACACGGGAGACGTGCAGGAGCCCCACGCGCTTGGGGACGGGGGGTGCCGGGGAGTCTCCTGTGGGACAAAGAAAGGGACCTCAGGGGGAGGCGAGTGGCAGCCCCAAAAGAGACCCTGGACCCCCATTGAGGTGCCCCCCTCCCAGGGTTTTGGCTCCATCGCTGTGTCCAGCAGCAGCCACTCACCACCAGGCAGCGGCTTGAGCAGCGTCTGGCTCCGCACCTCCAGCTCCACCATCTCCACAGCACGCCTGAGGAGAGACAGCCCTGAGCATCCAGCACCGCCCCCCTAATGTGGGGCTCACAGGGGTCACCCCAGCTGGGTTATGGGTCCAGCACTGACCTGCAGACATCCAGAGCCTTGCGAGCATCACCAGAGACCGCAGAGACCTTTCGGGCACAGAACTGGAGCGCGGCAGCGTCCA